GGGGTGGGGGGGGGGGAACACTGGGAAAGAGGAGTGAGAGAGAATAAAACCAATACTGTGGTGGCAGCTGCCACTGAAATGTTATTCTAATCAGGCCAGTCAATCAGATCTTCAGTGGCCAATCAGAAGCCCAGGTGGGGAAGAACCCCAACTGGCCCCACCCACTTTCTAAAAACTCTACGTTTGTGCCAAGAAAGGTGTTAGCGGACACACTGGTGCCCAGAGGCACCATGTTGGGAACCCTTGTGCTAGCCCATCAGTGGGAAGGGAGCCGTCTGAAGCTCCCCATCATTTTCTGTTCTATTTGGGACCCTTTGGATTCTATCTCCAAGACTCCAGAATCAAGCGGGCAACAAGAAGCACATTGCTTGGCATGACTTTGGGGGCTGTTGATCTACAGTCCATGGACTCCAGTCTTAGTTTCCATGTTTGGAACTACGGGTCAGCAGTTGGGAGCAGTTTCACATCGCTAGATCAACTAATGTTGCTTCTCTCTCGTCAGCAAAACTGGGGTCGGCCGGGAACTCACCCAAATGGATGTCCTGAAGGTTGGTTGGAAGCAACCAGAGAAATTCGATTTGGTTTTGGAGATACAGAGACTCGTTGATGTCCCCGTATGCTGGTATCTGAGAAAGGCCACAGTCCAGTTGCTGAGACGCTCGGGTTTCCTCTCTCCATCACAGCAAGATTACTTCCAAGGCTATTTGACTAAGGGAGCTTTGACTTTTGAAAGTTCATACCCTGAAAACATTGTTGGTCTCTAAGGTGCTGCTGGAGTTGAATCTAGCTTTTCCGAGCCTGACACTCTTGCCTGAATGGCAAGCACAGCCATTCGTGAGTCACACTGCAAACCTTCTCCAGGACAATCATGTGAACCTTCTCCAGGACAATCATGTCCAAATCCTGGACTTCAGGAACCCGCTAGGGAGCTTGAGGTAGTCGTGTTCACCACGAACACCTAACTACCAGGAGGAGGGTGGTGCGAAAGTGGGGAAGCCAAGACCGTTTCTTGTCCTACTTCTAAAAAGTATTTAATGACTTGGGATGTCTCCACATCAAGGGCGTTCCGGTCTTTTTCATGTTTTCCCATGACATCATCCACTATTTGAGCGCAGGGGGTTAACAGCCTGTCCCTTCCAGCCCCCCCAAAAAAAATCAGTCTTATTTTAAACCTGTTAACAATACAGCGTTTCCTGCCCTTTCTGCACCCGTATTTTGCCTCGGTCTCTGAGAGCACCCTATTCTTCCATCCTGCATTCCCTCCTCCTTTCACTTTCACTTTGTTTTGGGATTTCTCTTGTTTCTGCATTTGTTTTACAGGAATCTGCATTCAGACCACTTCCAGCACACTGTTGCCCTGCAGTTACCAAAACTCCTTTTGTGCCGATTCTTTGTTCTTATCCGCTTTTGAATAGCTAATCCTTTCTAAAGTAGAATTGTTTCTGCAGGTATTTAAGTGCTGCCCGCTGCCCTCACCCCGCTTCCACCTCTCTCCAGGCTGACGCACCCTCCCTGTTCTGTTTTCTTTCCCTCCTTCTCCAAAGAACAAAGAGGATGCGTCCTCCCACTCAGGCAAACTTTTTAAAAAACAGAGAGAGAATAAGACGGAATCAGTAAATATAAAGAAGAAGGGGATTCCTTCCCCAAAATGTGTGGGTCTGCATGTGTGGGTCTGGATTTCCCCCTCCCTTCCCTTTCTTTGTGCAGAATCACAGAGGGAGGGACAGTGGGAGGGAGGGGTTGGCAGCCAGTTAGTTCAAAATATGCGGGTTTTGCTTGTAGATGCAGAATGCAGAATACACACAGAAATAAACTAGAGGAGGAGAAACCAGTGCAGAGGGAATGCATGTGACTGAATCCTCGGATTCTCCGGAGCAAGCTGTCAGTGCAGAAGGGGCGTTTGTAATAACAAGACTTTGGTGACGTGCTAGTCAGTTTCTCTTTTCCTTTGTTGATAACCAGAAGTCCCCTGCAGAAAATAACATACCACAAAAGAATGTTTTAGACAGAGGGGAGGGGACCAGTAGAGGATTTAAAAATGTGAGGTTTTTTAAAAGGATGTAAAGGTATTGCATTATTCCTATCCAGTGTTACTCATATTCAAAGAGCTTTTTTTAAAAAAAGAAAAGAAGAGAAGAGAATCACCCATAACTCAAGCTACCTTTTAAGGAGTATGGAAGGGGATTGTCTGTATCTGCAAGTATGTGGGGGTTTTTTAAAGTGTTTTTAAAAGGTATTGTGTTATCCCTGTACAGCATTACCCATGCTCCTCAAAATAAAATAAGAATAATAAAACAGGGTGGGCAGAGAATTCTGAGAGTCATGTGGGAACACACCTGGGGCAGGTTCAATGTGCATCAGGTGTGAATGGAAGGCCACAGCTAACAATGGAGAGAAAATGGATTATGGGGGCTGTCTGGAACCTCTGTTGCCTGGGTAATCCCACACAGAACAACATCGGTAACCGTGGAAAATCACCCTGCCTTGGCAGTCTTGGTCCTAGTTGCCCAGTAGTATACCTAGTTGGCATAAGCATATGAGCGCCATTCAGCTTGAAAGGAAATGGCTTTTCATCCCCCACTCTCTGCTCTTCTTGTCTCCCTTCTCGCCATACTAAAAATCATTATTTTTAAAATGAGAGAAGAAGCCTGCCCTGACCTGGATGGCCCAGGCTAGCTGATATCGACAGATCTCAGAAACAAAGCAGGGTCATCCCTGTTTAATATTTGGATGGGAGACCACCCAGGAATCCCAGGGTCACTATGGAGAGGCAGGCCATGGCAAACCACCTCTGAGTGTCTCTAGCCCTGAAAAACCCTAGGGGGTCACCGTAAGTCAGCTGTTACTTGATGGCACTTCCCACACCCCCCAAAGAGTCTTGAAATGATGCTCTGGAGGCCTCCAGCACATGACCCCTGGCCATTGGGGCCCAAAGAACTGACCTGATGCACAGAAAATGAAGCATCCCCAGGGGTCATTTCCTGCAGGAGCACACAGGACCAGAGCTCCGGCAGTAAAGAGCCCGGGGGGGCACATGCAACAAGCCCCACCCCCTGCTCCCAGCAGCCCTCAGTCAGAGCAAGAAGCAGCCAGGTAAGTTGCAGAGCCCCCCCCCAGATAGCAATCCAAAACAGTCCAGTGGCAGCTTTAAGACCACGTTTTATTCAGGTACAAGCTCTCCCTCCTCTGTGAGGTCAGATCTGTGTGGGAACCCCTCCCCCTCATAGCTAGCAATCCACAACAGTCCAGTGGAGCCTGAGCGGTGGGTGTTGCCTTCTGACACACTTCCGGTGATGTCAGGGTGTGTGGCATATGCAAATAAGTTATGCTAATGAGTTATGCTAATGAGCTCCTGTGCCTCTTTTTCTATGAAATGGCCCCTGAGCGCCCCCATCTCTACTCTGCAGGGACCTCCTTTAGAGCCGCACTACAATGTGCTGGTGAGGTGCTATAGGCAGAATTAGCACCAGAGAGCATGGGCAGCCCCGCACTTTGTGGTCCAGGTGGCGATAACACAAGCTGTTTTTCGTGTTGCAT